TTTAAATTAAAAAAAATTATGTAACTATGTGTGTATATATATAAACATTAATTCTAGAGATCTGAATGTTATGAAGAAAAAAAAAAGTTATAAATATACCCATGTGGACCTAATATTTGATGATGAGCCCATCTTAAATTTAAGCTTGAAGGCCCAGGTCCAACACCGTTTTCTCTTTGCGGCTCTCGTAAAAATAATTAGGATAAATAATTGAAACCCCATAAATATTAGTTTATCTAATACCCCTAAAATCTATAAAAATATTAATATCCCCCCTGTTTTTAGGGTTTTTTAATTACTTTAGACGATACTCCATCCAGCCTAACCTTAATTAAAATTTAATTTTATGGAATAAATTCCACAGGGTACATTTCAAGCCCTTACTTTATCAGACACTAGTTATATCCTACCACATTGTGGATTCCAGTCACACCCACCATATAAAAATAAATATGTGTGATAAAAATAGAGGGTAATTAAGAGAAAATTAAATATTATAATTAGTTTAAAGCATCCAGACATTATGCAGAAAAAGTTATATCAAATTTGAACCTTATAAAGTAGTCCATACCTATCTCGAAGGATTAAAGTTTTTAGAAATAATGATAAGAGGAGAGGTGTAATGGAATCTTTAAGAGAAATTTGTAATGATGTGGTTGTCTTTGTGCCCATGTATATGTTTAGTGGAACACCAGAATTTTTTTGTCAACCATCCAAATACTTTTGTGTTTCTAACCATACCCAGCTTAAAGTGCCACCTGTTATATTATTTACAGCTTTCTAATTTTTCGACTCACATGTTTTATTTCCTCAACCAACAACTATTCAATCCTCTTCATGAATTCTATCCATATAATTCTAAGAGGCTGTTTGGATCAGTTTATATAAGATAACGAGAGTAACCTTCTTTTATTTTATAAGGTTCCTGTGATTGATTTACAAGTAATAAAATATTACGATAATATTTTATTGCAAATAGTATTTATTATTGGTAATGTGAGAGGTAATCTTATTATCTTGTTAGGGGTATTATTAAAATATTATCGGGATAATTTGATTTTTCTACCCATTTTGTCCTTAATTAAAAACCATTTCGGACACAATTGCCCTCAAATACCTACTAAATAACAATTACTCAGCCCCCCTACATTTGAGAAATTAGCTAAAACACCCTAGTCACAAAAAAATTTAAAAGTTAACAAAATACCCCCAACCATCGCTAGTCGTGACTTACCACCGCCGACCGTCGACGTCAGTCGCCGTAATGGTGCACGACTGACGGGATCTAGCCGGTCATGCACCGGTAAGGCATTTTCCATGGCTAGAAACGGTGAGTTATGACATTTTTATGGTCGTGAAAAGGTAAGATCTTTGGCCGTGAAAATGGCACAGCCAAAGATCTGGCCTTTTCACGACCATATCTTAGGTCGTGAAATGGCCATAGATCTGGCTGTTTTTTGGTCATGGATTTGTGATCCATAGCTATTTTCGGCTTTGTCGGTGCACGGTCGGCCATATACTCCCAGTCGTGTGTCATTCCGTTGACTGCCGGTGGTGGCTTGGGGTAGGTGGGGGTGATTTTTTTATAAATTAAAGTTGGTTGGGGTGTTTTAGAAAAATTTCAAATGTAGGGGGTTAAAAAGAATAATTTAAAAAATAATAATAAAAAATACTATTATATTAATATTTAAAAAGGAGGGCAATTTAGTAATCTATATAACATACCCACTCATTTATCCTCCCAACCAAATATACTATTCATCAATTTATTCGAACCAATCAAACACATTTTTTAAACATTCTCAGTAATCTTTAAGGTGATCTTTTTTTCCGTTAATATAATATATCCTTATAATAAAATATTATATGATCCAAACACCCCTAAAGGGGTTGGCCTGACGGTCAAGGAGGTTTACTCCCTTCCTTGAGTTCTTGTATTCAAACTTTAGGGCTACCTATCACAATAATATTGTGGTTTATCTAGTCTTTTAGCTTTGTAGAGTGTTCCATAGACCCTTAGGATTAGTCCATATATATAATCTGAATTTTTTAATGTTAATTATCTTCATAATCTCCTGTTTGGAAAAATAAAAAACAATTGAACATATTAAACTCTGTTTTTTATTTTGTGAAAGAACCCTGCTGTGTCGAAATTTAATCAAATAAATATATATATAGATTTTATATATTTATATAAGTGAAGTTGGGTATCAAAGTGCTTAACAAGAGAAGAGTGATCATAGGGCAGGCATGTAGAAGCAATAATATAATTCAACTATATATATAAGTTGTGCATAAGAAAGAGAGATTATGAGTAGTACCATTTAGTACTAGGAGATTCTTATCCATTAACAAAAGAAAAAAAGAAAAAAATTATGAGTATGTAGAATTTACAGTGTTTTCTGATAATGAGAAAGATAGATGGAACTCTAGAGACGATCATGATTACAGATATCCCAATCCAGCAACCTAATCCTTATCAGAAAAACTCTTATTTTCTGGAAGCAGGCGTTAGATTGGAATTGGATTGTATTTGCTTTTTGTGTTTTTATATGGGAAGTTGATAGCTGATAGTTTCAGCCACCACCACCAAACCTTCCTAACAAGTAATTAACATCTCCATCTCAAAACCTTCCTACATATTAGGTTACCTACTTGTATTACGTATGATTGATGTTTTTTATATTTGAACTCCAACGCAACATTGCTTTGATTTTATAGATTCAGCAGTGCGTGATTGCCGAATCAAAGTTATAGAAAAAGCTAATACAGCTCGTTAAATCTCTTCTTCGCTACGTCTTGTAAGAAAATCATATTGATGATTTAGTTAATTAGTATTATACTTATAATGCTCAAAGTATCTTTGATCCCATCCCATCAGTAATAACTAAAGCTAAAACACAGAGCATGTAAGGTGCAACTAATAAAGTACCTTTATAATCTCCTTTCATTATCTTATCTTTTACTTAATCAACTCCATTACCATTTTGGCAACCTTTAATCCCCACTTTTTAAGTACAGCCCGATGAATAAGACAACCAATATAAATTTTAAAATTATTAAACTAATTAATAAATTATCATCAAATTCTGAAAATAATTGAGTATTGATAATGACTAATTATTCCCATTATTAATAATGCTCTCAAATTTCAAAGTTGATGGCCAAATTATTTTGCTTCCTTTGTGTTGCATTCAACACCGACATCCAGAGGATTTATTAACTTCCTCCTAGAACAATCTTATGGTCTGCGGGATCATAATTATATATATATAAGCCTATCAATTATCATTTATCTGCCGTTTTCCACATAATTAATCTTGATTTCTTTCATTGTTGTTGATCATTGGTGACAATTTGTTTATTATTGATACTTATTAACTTCTCTAGAAACTTTTCACATAAATATTTTCAATTTTTTTTTTTTTTTTTTTTTTTTAGGGTTCAACAACTTTGAAATAGTGCTCCACTATGTGATGCTAGTAAGTAAGAAAAATATTAATTATGTATTTTTAAACCCAGCCGTCAAAAATCATTATTCACTATATAAAATTCAATCCAATCAGTTGTTGGAAAATAAAGAACATCAAATCTTACTCCACTCAAAATCGAATTGTCTTTAGAATATTGAATCCTAATCCACCTTTAAATTGCATCTTAATTCATTTGAATAACATTGGATTAATTTTTGTTAAAAAAATCAATATATATATATATATATTGGGATCAAATTCCTTTTTCTCAAATTCATTGGGTTCCTTCCGACTAACGAAATCCTATGCAAAATAATTGCCTATTATTTGTAAAAACTACTCCAGAATACTCAAATTGAATATTAAGGAAAATAGAAAGAAATTAAATTTTTTTTTTTTTTCAGTAGTAAATGCCATATCATATTTTAATTTTTTAAATTAAAAAAAATTATGTAACTATGTGTGTATATATATAAACATTAATTCTCTAGAGATTCGAATGTTAGATGAAGAAAAAAAAAAAAAAAGTTATAAATATACCCATGTGGACATAATATTTGATGATTGAGCCCATCTTAAATTTAAGCTTCAAGGCCCAGGTCCAACACCGTTTTCTCTTTGCGGCTCTCGTAAAAATTAATTAGGATAAATACACTGAAACCCCATAAATATTAGATTGATTTAATACCCCTAAAATCTATAAAAATATTAATACCCCCCCTGGTTTTATAATACCGGTAAAGAGTTGATTGCTTTAGCATAAACATGGGAGGTGTCACTTACAGTTTTCCCTGATAATAAATGTTATAATTACGACCGTGTTTAGTTAGTCAAAGTTAAACCTTCAAAATCATCACCCTAGAATTAAATCTTAATGATTTCAACATGTGCTTCAACTTTATTATGAATGCTTATAAAACCTGAGTAGGGGAAGTAAAAGATAAGGAAAAACAAAAATTGATTTGAATGACAACTTTTTTTTTTTTTCCAGAAAAATCCAAACCAGCTTCGGAGACGTTACCGTAGATTGCGTGGACTGAGGTGATCATCGATTCTGCAAATTAAGTAATAAGCTCTTTCTTGACGTGGTTGTGAGATAAGAGTTCTAGGAGAAACGTGGAGCTATCCTGTCTTGCATGTTAATTTCCTTCACAACAAGTGTCTTACCTTCAACACCTCATACAATACAATGAGCTTGCCAATTGAAATCCTTACTATTCATTACTGAAAACAATAATACAACACTTGGGCATCTGCATGAAGGGCATTTTGATGTTATCACTAATAACTCCATGACACATTTTGTTAAATAGAAGCTAAAGCTGATTTTTTCATCAACAGCTGGATGTCCTTTCGCTTTTTTTTTTTTTTTCTCTCACCTTGGTTCTTTTAGGTGTCATAGTTGTGCCATCTTCTTTTTCAGGTTCCAGTTCTTGAATTTGTTTGCTTCATTCCTCTTTCTGTTTTTTTATCTATCTCCCAATGGGAACCACTAATTCTCAAGGGGAAGAATTGATGAAAAACATAATGTCCCAAAACCTTCCTAATGAAATTGTGATTGATATCCTGTCAAGGTTGCCAGTTAAGTCCATTGTCAAGTTTAAGTGTGTAAGCAAGCCTTGGCGCTCTTTGTTTACTGACCCTAAGTTCATTGAGTTGCATCTCAATCGAGCTATTGCCAAAAACAGCCATTGCCTTCTGGTGCGGCATGTGGCTGACCCAGATGAAAAGATTTACTCAAAATGGAATAAAGCAATACTTGGGGATATTAATAAGCTCGAAGTTCCCCTTCAGAATAAAGGGAATAATTACTTAACAGTGAAATCCGGAAATTCAATGATTTGTGTGGGGAGATACTGGGATGATGAAGAGATTTACTCTTTCCGGAATGCTGAAACTTTTGAAGAACTTGCAAGGCTAGAAGTTCCTGGACAAAGCATAACCAATTATTTCTCAATTGTGGGGTGTAGCAATGGATTAGTTTGTCTCAATGAGGCAAATTTTAATGGCTCATATCACAGCCTTAACTCATTTTTCTGGAACCCAGCTACCAGAGAATTCAGAGCCCTTCCAAAGTACTTCATCAACAAGTTCACCAGCTCACTCGTTGTGGTTGGTCTTGGATTTGCATTTGTTCCCATAACCAATGACTACAAAGTGGTGAGGATTCTCTACTTCATTGAAAGCAAAGTTCATGAAGTTGAGGTGTTTTCACTAAACACAGATTGCTGGAGTAAGGTTGATGCAGACATCCAGTGCAACATCACCAGTCAACTTTCACAAGCATATGTGAATGGATCATCACATTGGATGGCTACTAAGAGGGATGATGATGGTAATCCTCATTACTCCATCTTGTCATTCAATATGGTTGAAGAAACTTTTGGCATGTTGATGCTGCCCAAATGCTGTGAGAAAGATCACTTTCCTATGCATAAATTGCTTACAATGTTTGAAGGATCTCTTGTTGTGGTTGTTTACAATCCTTACCAGTTGAATAAGAGTTGTGACATATGGGTTATGAACGAGTATGGAGTGGCAAAGTCTTGGACTAAAACATTCTCATTTGGAAATGAAGTTGAAGTCATGATACCATTAGGCATATTTGATAATGGTGAAATAATAATGGAAAAGGAGAAAGATGGGGAGCTATATTCATTTGACCCAAGGGCTAAGCAAAGAAAGAGTCTGAGTATGTATCAGCCTGCTCGCATTGTCAAATACATAGAGAGCCTAGTATCTCCCCAAGGAAGAAATAGTATTGGTGGTTCAGTTTCTGCTCCTTCCACCAGTCAGGTTGAGACTGGAGTGGTCATTCAACAGCAAAATGGAAGTGTCTAAAATTTAAAGATGCAATCATGCAATGCATAGCTTCTTTGTGGCCTTTTTTTGCAAGTGTTTACTTAGTTGCTCTGTACTTGGGAGTTTGGTTGTATGTGGTAATTGTCCTTTTTAAATCAGTTTACCATGTTGGGTGGAATATATATCAGCAGCCAGACAACTCAGGAATAATTTATAAAGTAAATGTGCGCATCAGGAATTCACCTCACTTAATTGATGGAATGTGTAACGTTTATTTCTTTTCAGCTATCCATATCCAAAGACAAACCTGGCTTTCTGAAGATCGATGCTTTCCATTTTATGATTAAACAATTCATAATCACTATGTTTCAACACATCCGGAACAGGACCGTGGACAAATTCATCTGCTATAGCAACAAATTAACATTAAGAAATAATACAACCTGAGATTTCCATGTTTCATCTGAAAATGTTATAGAGGCAATAAAACTTCTCTTTCGACCAAGCATAATACTTCAAACTTTATCCTTCACAACTTTCGATTTCTTTTTCACTAACTTTCTTTGCTTCAAGACTCGTTTTATTGAAACTAAGTTTCTTCATCTCCTGGAAACATAGGAGCTGCAAAGCTAAAAGCAAAAATAGAATATCTTTAATTCCCATACATGTTTTTTCAGTTTTCGATTGATATTCTTATTGTCAAAATCTCACATTGGAGTCCGGAGTTAAAAGAGGTAAATGAGGTTTTAGGAATTTTTTGGTGCATTAGAAATGTGGAGCGGGAGAGAAAAAAGGAAAAGAAATAGATTTGATACAAGTTTTGGACTCCATTGGTATATATGCGACTGTAATATGATATCTCAAATCTTGATAAATACACAAGTTACAACACAAACATAACTGAAAAGAAATTAACGGTGTCATGGATGAACCAACATAAATAATATAAAAAAATAAATAATTTATTTCTGATTGATAAACAGTAAAATTTTGGTAATGATAGAGAGTAGGTGCATTTATTCTACTCTACCACTCAGAAATCTACAACGTCCAAATCATGGATCATAAAAGCATGAAAGGGTTGACTTTATTGTAGAAAGAAATTCAGGATTTGAGCAGGGTGTGAATTCCAAAATTGAATCATAGTTCCTTACTTCCAGAATCATTTTTCTCCTTTTTTTCACCTCCACCCTTGTCGCCGATCTCAACTGGGGCCCTACATGCGGGCGGGTTCATTTTACCAACAACGTTTGGTTTAACATTACTACACTCTGATGTAACTTGTCCATCTTGTCCACTGTATGAGAGGTCAATCTCACTAAGCTCCACACCTTCACATGTACCAGAGCTACAAGCAAGCTTTACAGCACACGGATTTGCTGAGGTTCCCTTTATATTTTTGAAGAAGACATTGTTCAGCTTAACTTTTGAATGACCCTGAAAAAATTCAAGACATTTAAGTGAATATGTTATGACTAATTAATTATATTCTCGTTGTTTGAAAAGGAAGGACATGTAATATAAATATTAATTGAGCTAGCATTTTTTTTTCTGGAAAGTAGTATACCTGAGCACATGATTTTCCGGGGCAATAGTTTTGATCTATAATAATAGGATTAGTGACATTGTTCATAGTAAGATCCTCAAAATGCAAATCACTTGCTGCGTTTTCATAGAGATCAGGCCAACTTTTGATTCTCACACCATTGTCAGTATTGGTGAAATTGCAATCCTTGATAGTGATTCCAGTTAGAGGTTCCTCATCTTGGTATTTTCCTAAACTTCCAACGCTGATACCATGACCAGGCCCACAGTTAACTTTTGTGATGGAAACATTTTTGGTTCCACCAAGAAAGGAGATACAATCATCACCTGTTCCGATTGTTGAATCACAAACCCTGATGTTAGTTGAGTGTCCAATGTGTATTCCATCTGTATTTGGGCTATCGGCTGGCGCAGTTATCCTTAGGCGGTTGAGATCTACATTATTGCAGCCTACGACGGCCATATGAAATTGTTTAGCGTTTATCGAACATATATCTTCGATAGTCCCGTCGGTAATGTAGTTGAACTTGACACTCTATTCGAATTTTAGGACACAAGAAAAAAAAAACAATTCATAGATTAGTACCATATTGATATGATCATAATCATTCATTAAAAACATTTCCTAACAGTGCAAGCCTTAATTCATTAATAAACTTACCATGGGAAGCTTCTCCAAGGCACCACCTTTACATTTTTCCCAAACTTTGGCTCCTTCGCCATCAAAAGTTCCACCACCAAATAGTTTAAACCCTGTGATTTTATTAAACTGAATCCAAGAATCATCTGTGATTTGATCTTCTGTGGGCTTTAAGGTGCCTTTAAATTCAACCTCAACAGAAGCTTTGCACGGACCTTCGAGAAGCACTTTTCCTGCTGTGTATGTTCCTGGTGGAATCAACACTCTGCTTGGAGCAGGTGATTGACACGCTTCGTTCCATGCCTTAGTCAGAGCCTAATTAAGAAGTACATGAAATCAAAGTTAAGATAAAATTAATTTTAACGACAAATATTAATTGCAGCAGAGCCATGAGGCTTAATTATTACCTCAGTGATACAGCCACCGTTCTTTCCACCAAATTTACTTATATCAACAATTGCACCCTCATGAGCTTTAGCTGTTGATACCAACGATAACAAAAATAATAATGATAAAATGGCTATATTTATCAATTTCGCCATCTCTTGAATTTGGTTTTGGTGTTGCTGTTAATAATTGTTTGAATGAAATATGAAACGTCTTAACCCCGTTTTATAGTAGAGGGAAGAGTGAAGAAAGATGATGGCCAATAATTCTAGGAGCCAACCGTTGGCTAATTTTATGCTACGTTTGAAGAATGTAATGGTTATATTTATTTACTATTATTAGCTTTTTCCAATTTTAACAAACTCCAGTCAGCTTAGGAAACTAAAAGTAAGGCGACTTTAACAGTTTGTTTTTGTGGATATTAATTAAATCTCTCTTTTAATTATTGTTTGATTATGTACATCTAATTATTAATTAAGGTATTGATGACAAAGACAATTTGATAAAAGCAAAGCATTTATTTTTATATTAAACTAGAGTTTATAATAGTATTATGCATGTTCAACATTTAGCAATTACAGTATATATACAACAATTAAAAACAAATCTCCTAAATCAGAATTTTCATAATCATTTTATTAGGCCACGAATTCGTTTGAAAAGTTATATTTACAGTTGCAAGTATTAAGCATGCCTTATCCTCCGGATCCTTGACCTTGCAACACCAAATAATTAAATTAATTAATTCAAGTATAGTGTTAATTATCATGGCATGGAGTAAACAACTTTTTCCAACCCAAGGTTTGCCTTAATGACACTTTTCTACCCAAAAAGTTTCAAAATACCTGTTTCCCACCCAACGTTTATATTTTGTTAATACCCAAAATATACTTCACTTTTTCAACCAACGTTCAACGAGTTACCATGAGCCAGGGTAGGAGAGTTTTTGTAGAGTAAAGGCTAAGCCAGGGTAGGAGAGTTTTTGTAGAGTAAAGGCTAGTGGATCGAATATTGTGGTTATCAATTGAATATTAGCCTTCGGAATCAGCCAAAAATAAGCTAAAAACACGAACCTCTAACTTTGCGGTGACCAACAATCGACGAGAAATCAGGTGTCAAAATAAAAAGGGTTTAACTTTGGGTGGGAAAGTGGTATTTTAAAACTTTTTGGGTAGAAAATTGTCATTAAGGGAAACATTGTGTTGGAAAAAGTCGTTTACTCTCATGGCATGCTCATTTAATTCCTGTAAAAGAGAGTTTATAGCGTTTCTGAAAAGTAATTTTATTGATAGTAATTAGCTCATATATTTAGAATCATACCAAAAGGATGAGAATTTTTGTCATAATGCATCACCTGATTATTCATATTTTTATGGATGAAAAAATGATGATATTGTTGGAGTAGGTGCCCTAGAGCCAATCTATTATTGTAAAATTAACTCAGTGATAAATGTTTATTATCAATAAAAGACATATTCTTCTATATCGTATAAATCATAATTATATGTAATGATATATGTCCTTAGGATGGTAGAACTATAATGAGGGTATCAAGTGTTTCAAATCTTGATATTGAGAACCCTATGATTACATATGGTGGCCATTCTAGTAATGTTCGTAGCCCTAGTATTATTCTGACCAAGGACACAGATAATACGATAAGGCTATCATAGTGTTGAATGACCCTGTCGAAAGGCAGTGACTGATCTCACTTGTCAAGGTTGTTTACCGACAACCTGGTGTAACGCATGGGTGCTTGCTAGAGGCAAGTTCACTGGACAGACCCACCAGAGGATTTCATATGGATGGTAACCCTAGTGTCTATGGAATAAATCCTCTAACGGATGGTGGTGCATGTGATCCTTAGACTNTATATTAAACTAGAGTTTATAATAGTATTATGCATGTTCAACATTGAAGCAATTACAGTATCTATACAACAATTAAAAACAAATCTCCTAAATCAGAATTTTCATAATCATTTTATTAGGCCACGAATTCGTTTTGAAAAGTTATATTTACAGTTGCAAGTATTAAGCATGCCTTATCCTCCGGATCCTTGACCTTGCAACACCAAATAATTAAATTAATTTATTCAAGTATAGTGTTAATTATCATGGAATGGAGTAAACAACTTTTTCCAACCCAAGGTTTGCCTCAATGACACTTTTCTACCCAAAAAGTTTCAAAATACTGGTTTCCCACCCAACGTTTATATTTTGTTAATACTCAAAATATACTTCACTTTTTCAACCAACGTTCGGCGAGTTACCAGGAGCCAAGGTAGAAGATTTTTCGTAGAGTGAAAGCTAGTGGATCGAATATGGTGGTTATCAATTGAATATTAGCCTTCGGAATCAGCCAAAAATAAGCTAAAAACACGAACCTCTAACTTTAAAAGACCAACAATCGACGAGAAATTAGGTGTCAAAGTAAGAGGGGTTTAACTTTGGGTGGGAAAGTGGTATTTTAAAACTTTTTGGGTAGAAAATTGTCATTAAGGGAAATATTGTGTTGGGAAAAGTCGTTTACTCTCATGGCATGCTCATTTAATTCCTGTAAAAGAGAGTTTATAGCGTTTCTGAGAAGTAATTTTATTGATAGTAATTAGCTCATATATTTAGAATCATACCAAAAGGATGAGAATTTTTGTCATAATGCATCACCTGATTATTCATATTTTTATGGATGAAAAAATGATGATATTGTTGGAGTAGGTGCCCTAGAGCCAATCTATTATTGTAAAATTGATTCTGTGATAAATGTTTATTATCAATAAAAGGCATATTTTTCTATATCGTATAAATCATAGTTATATGTAATGATATATGTCCTTAGGATGGTAAAACCGTGACGAGGGTATCAAGTGTTTCAAATCTTGATAGTGAGAACCCTATGATTACATATGGTTGCCATTCTAGAAATGTTCGTAGCCCCAGTATTATTCTGACCAAGGACACAGATAATATGGTAAGGCTATCATAGTGTTGAATGACCCTGTCGAAAGGCAGTGACTGATGTCACTTGTCAAGGTTGTTTGTCAACAACCTGGTGCAACGCATGGGTGCTTGCTAGAGGCAAGTTCACTAGACAGACCCACCAGAGGATTCCATATGGATGATAACCCTAGTGTCTATAGAATAAATCCTCTAACGGATGGTGGTACATGTGATCCTTAGACTTGAGATCACCGGAGCGCCTTGTGCACCAATTGGTGTAGTTTGACACTAGCCTAACGTAGTTTTATTCAGAGCTATCAATACGGTAGTGATTGACTACATTGAGAAGTGTATCGAGACTATGATGGATCGACAAAGGATTCATCACTCCTAGGCATGGGAGAAGTTATCTCACTGGGTAATTAAGTAAATGGCAATGACACTAAATCTGTGGCCACAGTGAGATTGAGTTGATTCTCAATCCAATTTATTATTCTGGTCATTGGTCTATTAACTGAATACAAACATGTCGAGGATATCTGAGGTTGACACTATTTCTGTACCTCAGTGTCGATGAGATAACAAATGATGAAAGGATTGGATTGCACGGTAACCATACCGTTGATAGGTTGCGGTTTCACAGAATCCGAATCTATCGGGTGGCCATGATGCCTTGCTAGAGGCCAATCTTGGTATGTGTGTAGTGAGACGATTAATTGGTGTTAATTGTGATACTACTCACTGCCGATATGATGAGGAGCCTACGGGTCACACACTTAGAAAATAATTTAAGAATTAATTTGTGAGAAGGGTATTTTCGTCTTTCAAGATAAAAGGGTATTTTGGTAATCTCACAGTGCAATTAAATATGCTGAGGTTGTTGCCTGTATTTAATTTGAATATTAAAATTAAATTAGTGAGATTATATTTAAATATATCTATGTATATATATTTAAATGAATTATTATTATTAATTAAATGTTAATATATTATTATNCTCAATCCAATTTATTATTCTGGTCATTGGTCTATTAACTGAATACAAACATGTCGAGGATATCTGAGGTTGACACTATTTCTGTACCTCAGTGTCGATGAGATAACAAATGATGAAAGGATTGGATTGCACGGTAACCATACCGTTGATAGGTTGCGGTTTCACAGAATCCGAATCTATCGGGTGGCCATGATGCCTTGCTAGAGGCCAATCTTGGTATGTGTGTAGTGAGACGATTAATTGGTGTTAATTGTGATACTACTCACTGCCGATATGATGAGGAGCCTACGGGTCACACACTTAGAAAATAATTTAAGAATTAATTTGTGAGAAGGGTATTTTCGTCTTTCAAGATAAAAGGGTATTTTGGTAATCTCACAGTGCAATTAAATATGCTGAGGTTGTTGCCTGTATTTAATTTGAATATTAAAATTAAATTAGTGAGATTATATTTAAATATATCTATGTATATATATTTAAATGAATTATTATTATTAATTAAATGTTAATATATTATTATGTATTAATTGATTTTAATTATAATAATAATTCATTAATTAAAATACCATAAAGGGTGTGTTTGGTTGCAAGGGTGAACTAGGGTTAGAGCCCATGGCTATTCCTAAGTGAAATAGGGTTTTAATTGTTGTACTATAGAAGTGCAACTTAAAATTAAAACAATTAGAAAGATTCATTCAATTAAAACCCTAGCCACCCAAAAGGTTCTCTCTCTCTCTCTCTCTCTCTCTCTCTCTCTCTCTCTCTCTCTCTCTCTCTCTCTCTCACGTTTTCTTCTTCAAGTGAAGAAGAAATTTTTTCAATTTTGATTGTTCTTGATTCTTGATGCCGGCAATTGTTCTAGCAAAACAATTGTTGGTTCTTCGGATTATCTTCGTGTGCACTTCTGTAAGTGTGATCCTACATTGGATCGATTAGCGAAGAATCACGTGAATAGTAGACGATGAACAATAGACGATGAACAATAGACGATGAACAATGTTTGTGTTCGAAATCAGAGATATTCGGAGGAGCCTCCAAACGTTGGTATGAACTAAATCCTTATATGGATTTGTTTTAATATAGCTTTATTTTACGTTTCAGTTTATGCATGAAAACGTTATAATCTGTACTCGGATCTTGGTTCGTGTAATTGATCGATTCGTTTTAAATATTACGTTTTTTCGCTGCACGAATCCGGTCAGTTACTAATAGTGGTATC